CACACACCAAAGCGTCCATGGCTCATCGTTGGTTTGTCCGCTTCGGATTCCAGCGACGCAGTCGTGACCTCGTCCACTTTGCACGGCTTCGGATTGACCTGGAGCCGCATGGCGTGTCGGTGGAAAATCAACAACTGAAGCGTCTTTTCCCGTCGAGCCGTCGTGGCTATTCACAGCACGAAACCACCGCGCGCCTCCTCGATATAGCTCGTGGAAAGTTAACCGTCATGAGTCACGGATGCCACGCCACACCTTGTTCTGGGGCATCAGAGTCTCGATATTTTTGCACGTGGCAAACTCGGATGGTGGCTTCGTTTGGCCATGCACGGGGGCCCAGCGCACAAGACTCGGATTCGAGTTTGTGGCGACGCCGACCATGCGAATCCACAACGCGTCGTATTGGCTCGTCGCGACGCCACGAATAACTCGGCAAGATGCACGACGCAGCATAAACTGACGAACCAACACTCGTCGACGAAACTTCGATAATGAAGGCCAGAATTATGGCCTAAAAATATAGCCCCACCTGCTCGACAACCGCACCACTTGTTGGAAACGCGTGGGAACGATCGTCGCGTCATTTTGTCTCGGGCTCGCTCCACGCAGCGACATTTGTTGAAACGTTGGGGAACCATCGCGAGGTCTTATCTGGTTTCGCGCTCCCTCGAGATTGTTCGCCCTAATTTGTTTTGTGCATTCTCTCGACAGCAACGCGAATCGGAAACAAGTGGGACCCATTGCCGTCAATGTGTTTTCGTGCTCCCTCTAGACAGGAACACGAGTTGGAAACAAGTGGAAACCATCGCCCGTATTTTGTCTCGTGCTCCTTGATGGCTTGCTACGGTTTGTCGCACCGGTAGATCCTCGCACATTCAGCGAATTCGTTTATTCATTTATAGGGTATGTACAACGTCATGTGCCGACTGCATTCCCGTCTATACCTCTATAAAATATTCGATTTGGTCCATCACATATGACAGGATATGATATATGAAGGGCAAGCTGCGCCTCGCCCTCGACGACATGGCCGACGCAGACGCCACCATGTCATGGTGGAATAGCTAACAATTCTCCATTTCACGAGCACCGATCGTGCCACCTCATGTCGTCCTTCGTCAGGAAAATCCTGGAGAAAAACACATCCGAAACATAGGCCATCCTTCAAGTCGTAGCTGAAAAACTGACCATACGACGGCGCCATGCACACTTGTCAAGATAGCAATGGTTCCCCGACCATTCATGTGACAAGGGCGCACACAGTCATCTCAAAGTGTTTTTGGAAACGTTGTGTGGATGTTTGGTAGGTTCCCATCGTGAAAGCCTACGTGGTGCTGCAGCGTGTTCGTCCAAGTCGTCTCCACCCTGCCTGGTCGAGATACCGTCGGTGTCGAACAATCCAACCCCATCGGCATGGCTCGTGGAATATACCGGCGTGATGTGCCATGCCCGTGGCCTGTACATCGTGGCGACGAAGGCGTGTGGTGCACCGAACGCGTTGATTGGAACGGATTTCGCGTGTGCTTGCAAGGAAAACGACAAAGAGGCGCGCTGCCAAACGGCCAGGCAACATGCCCGCCGACTGCCATTTGTTGTTGCTGCCTTTGAACCCGCCACGCCACTCCCACGTTGGCGGCAACAATACATTGTTTTGCTCATTCTGCGTCACTGCGCAAGGCGGTTGAAAGAAGTCGTTGCAAACATTTGGCAGCCATGTCAACAAGTTGTCTGGCTCGGGGACATGGTCGAGAACGCCCGTATGTCGCCCTCAGAAGTGAATACTTGCCTTGATCCCGCTCGCACAGCCGTTGAACGGACACGAGTCGGACGCGGTTGTGATCTCGGCTGTACGAGCAGTTTGTTCGTTCCATGCACCGTCGTAAGTTGAATCAACGGGACGTTGTGGACATTCGTCCAAAGGGGACCCACCAAGGTTGTCCACGTAAGGCGTTGCACAGCGAGTGCGCGATGGGTGGATCGAGGCGGCGAACGTCAGCCTGTCCTTTCACCGTGGGGAGTGACCAGGGCGGTCCAATACAGACGTGGTCAATCATGGTGATTTCCCCACTTCATTGTGACAAGGAACACAAGGTGGCGTCTTCGCTGAGCTACACCCTCCACATCCGTAGTGAACCGACGACAACTGCAAAACAAACGCTTTTTGGCGGCTCGGAAGATAGAGCTGTCCATGGCAAAGGGATGGGCGACGTCGCACCGGGTCAAATGCAGCGTACTGTCAGCGGCAGTCGGTGTTTGCTGCAGCTTGGCAGCTAGAACCCCACCGACCGAGAGACCGTGATATCGAGCGCTCCAAAACGGATCCAGGTGCTGCTGACGGAGTGAGTTGATGGGGGGTAGTGCTCAAGCCAGGCATGGCATGCCCGTCGACCCCCATGCGGTCGAAATGGTTCGAGTCGCTCCGGTCCAAACGCGGACTGCACACACGATGCATCAACGAGCCAAGAGCAGGCCCAAGTGTCGTGGTCTCGATGATGCCGCTCCCCACGCAGTGGACTTCGATGATGGTTTCTCGTGATTTTTCACCGCTTGCTATGACTTGTTGTTACCTGGCGTCTCTCAGGTCCGAATGCCGACGCTGTTGCAGATTTCGTGGGGAATCGTGTCCATGCAGCGGCAATGATTGTGTCGGCAACACATGCGAAGCCGTCCGCCAGAGCGCATCCAACACTCAACTCGCTTCACCAAACGTAGTTCGTGCTTGCCACAGCATCCTTGGCCGTTGTTTGGCGAACGTTCGGGTCCGACTGCACGGCGGCCTCCGACCACGACAACTAGCGCATCGAGCGCTTTGCCGTATGCGAATAATACTCGAATGTGAACACTGGAATCGACCCACAGGACGCCGACAGGAGAAACAGGATGAACGTGTCGTCGGACCCGTCCAACGGCATCGGAAACACCAATCTTGACAGGTTCTCAAGTTCATGGCTGCAGTGGTGTACCAACCAAATGCCTTGTGGCATCGCCAGAGTTGACCGTGCAGATCACAGGGGCCGACTACAAGCACTACCGGCGAAGTCAAGACGCCCGTTCGGTTTACAATCGCGCCAGTTGTTGCAGCGCTCTCTTTGCTTGAGCCATTGGGGGAACCGAATGGGACAGCCCACGCCACAGTCGCATTTCTTCCTCCACCCATCCAACCCCGACGGGGCGTGTATATGTGGGGATCTTTGTCGCATCGGGTCCCCAACGACTTGGCACTACGAACGCAATGTCCTGCAGGGAATAGCTGGGGAGTTACTACTGCTGTGATCATGAGCGCTGCCGATCGAGACCAAGACGTCCTGACACGGCATCTCTTCAGGGAAGGCTGAGCGTTGTGCTCTCCTGACCACACGACGATCATGCACGTCGCCATGCATGCCAACAACACTACACGCCATCCCGACATGCCGCCGCCAGCAACGTTATGCGTGTAGGTTGGCGGCGTGAAATGGATTTATATGGCGAGTGTGTGCAGCCTCTTCCTAGAAAACCAATTTACGCACCCCTCCTCTGTAGCCGCGCATCACACCAGTCACATGCCATTGTTTCCATCGTATTGCAGGTGAACGCACCACCATCCCCGATCACGAGTCCCTACAACGTGATGCCCACCGTCGACCATGCACGCCCTCAACCAAAACGGACCGACGATCTCGAGCTTCATGTCTCTACCAAGACGACGACCCAGGACAGGCTCGCGACACGCTTCGTCGTAGCTAGCTCGAACTCGAGCAACACGGCCATCAAAACGTATGCCACTCGCCAAAGCCGTGTTATCGAGGCACCCGATGCAGTGGAGCACAGCAAGATCAAAGCTTGGCAGGGACGGCAGCAATCCCAACGGCGGACGACTTGTCGTCCTTCTTCTTTTCTGGCGACTTGCCTTCCAATAACCTAAACAACTTCGTCGAAACGATACGCACATGCACCCATGTCCTACCGCAGCACTTGGACATCGCGCTTCATCGCTTGAATCATGGCTTCCGCCGCTTGCACGGCCGACGGGTCAAATTTTTTTTCCGCTTGCAGGCGCGCTAGCCCCTTTTCGTAGTCGCGCGTCCACATGTTGGTGTACTGGGCGTCGCGCCGCGTCAGCGTGTGGTAAAACGATCCGCCCAGGACGGCCGAAAACCCCACGAAGTACGAAATCGGCTCCATCACGTCCCACGAGTACACGTCCCACACAAGGTACCCCATGCCCGTGTAAAACTAGGCAGACTCCCGTCAGCCTTGACGAACGCATTTTCTTTGAGATGCAAATCAACCAAACACGACGTGGTGGTGGGCCCCACGCCGGCCAGAAAAGCAGTCGGGACGGCCAAGAAGGCGAAAGAGGCCTCCAGTCACCTGCCACATCCATCCGACGGTGCGACTGCCGGTATCAGCAAGCAAGTGGGATGCTTTCTCCCGCTGTCTCGCCAATACCACGACATGCCAATTCCACAAAGAACCACCAGAGGAGTGTGCACACGAAAACATCTTGGATCCATCGTACCGACGCAATGAAGGCCAGCCCAGCCCACTTTTTCGCGTTCGGGGCCTTCTTGGCAGCGGTCTTGAGCTCCGTGTCGATGATCGCGAGCTTTCGCCACTCCTCCGTGACGTCGAGGATTTCGGACTCTTTTGCCATGCGCACATGCTTGAGGTTGTACAGAACGGGATCGAGCGCGCTCTGAAATGCCGCGAGGCTGTCGCCTTTGTTTGGACGCAGGATCACCGTGTTGCGCAGGGCTTCGTCCTTGCTCTGGTCGTAGTGGAGGACAAGATTCCGTCGCTGGAACTCGGCCAGCCACTTTTTGGACGTCGAGTCGTCCGCCCCCACGTTCTTGCACATGTGGTAGAACTGGTCGATCGGGATCTACTTGCAATCAACCACATCACTGTCGTTAGTGAAGATACAGTTGACGGGAATCGCATTGAACAAAGCCATCAGCATTGGCACGTGTGCTTGGCATGGGAGAGAACGATGGCAATGTGCCGATGGCCTGCCGAGAACGATCTCATGCACGGCAAAAACGAACAGGCTCCCCCAGCCAGGTAGGATGGCGCACAGTACTGTGAACAGAGCCAAAGGGCATTTGAAACGAGCGATTTGTCGTACCGAAGTCCGCGTGTCCCGCTCAATGTATCGCTTGACTGTTCCAAAGGCCGAGCTCTCGCTCTCGTTCATCGTGTCATCCAGATCGACAGACCCTTCCTTTTCCAGCTCCAGCGTGGCCGTGTTCAAGCGAAGGAGAAGTGGGACGGGGGCTAGCGCACGAAGACTGGCGCACTTGCTCACCGTGACGCCATCCATGGTCGTGAGAGACACAGTGGTCAAGGTTGGGTCGAGCTGCATGAGCGTAAGCCTTAAAGACAACATGATGCGCACACACATAGTACCTCCTTAAGCGTTGCGATGAAATGGCCGACGCTTTCTCGCTCGGACGTCGACTTGGACGCACCCGTGTGTTCCAAGTCAACGCGCGTCAAACCAGGGCGGCCAGGCAGTGGCAGAGTGAACGACAGCGGCTCCGACACCTTGACACGCACCGCGAACTCGATCATGTCGGACGTTTTGATCGGGAGGTTCAGGTTGGAGTAGAATCGGCCGGCACCGACCGACCGACAGAACACACCGCGGAGGTGCAGCATGATCGCAACGGCCCCACGTTGACACTTTTTCGAGCACCGCACCATACAAATTCCTAGTCGTCCACACCCCATACAAACTCTAGTATAATCGAATTCGCCGCAAATCGGCCACCGCGACGATTCGACGTTTTATTGTTAAACGCTTGTGTCGGCGGCGTTCAACCTATGCAAAACCACCCTCGATTCCCATGGAAGTAGGTAAAACGTCGAGATCATCCGGATATATCACTACATTGTACGGATAACTCAAGTTCCCAACATCAAGACAAATCGTGTCCTCGTATATTTCCATGCAAATGACCACGTAGTGGAAGCTCTCTAACTCGATCAATACGCAAGCCGAGCCATACCTTGTGCCGGCCTGTCCAGATCTATAATTCTTACGGCTTCATTTACTGAGAATTGTCGAAGTTGGTACTCGTGCAGAAAACACCAGGCAACGTTGACGATCAGCATACATTCCCCGGATAAACGAGGATTATCCGGATATGCAATATAGCTGGATTAGTTAGTACTCTTGCTCTTCCTTTGTCCAGACAGTGTACAAATTCTAGTACACATGCATCCACCGGATAAACGATGATATCCGGATGAGAACAGCGAACGCAAATGGACGGAATGCCGTCGTCCTGCCGCACGGGCATCCAGTGCCACCACCTCGATGAAGTTTCAACTGTCGTTAGGACCACCACGACGGGGGCGATGTCGTGCGTGTGCAGCGACAGACTGGCCATGTCAACCTTCCTCTCAACATAGGCCGTCAAGTCAGAGCATCAACTCGGCTAGCCATGCTGGTCCAAGTGCCTGTTTGAATGAAGTCGATGGTGTCTTGCCGGTGCAAGCCCACCGGCGAGTTGGACGTGGCAACTTTGGCTCGTCGGCTTGTGACATTTGGCATGATTTTGTCGTGGAGGCCGTGGGAATAAGAGCATTCGTAGATAGCCGGAAACACATGAAAAACTTCGTGCGCTTGGAGTTAGGCTAGCCTTGTACACGTCGAAGTCCATTTACTGTATCAGTGGGGTCGCTACATCGGCGTATGAATGGCTCATCTTGCGTCGCAAGTGAATCAGGAGGTACATCACATAAACTTCCTGCCGCCATCGATTGGCAATGCTCAAGGTCCATCACGTCTCTGCTTGATGGAGAATACCGCAGCATCTGTCACGTCGGTTCATCATCTTAGACGCAGATTGGCACGACTGCATCGAGGGCTCAAGGCTGTGTTGGGATTCCATTCTTGGCATGCTACAGGAGCACCAATGAAGTCTGAGTGTCTTTGGACGTGGAGACGTCGCTCTCCTGGGCGGTACTGCTCACCACTGCGCCGTTCTTCTTCGC